CTTCACCTACCACCTAAAAATCCCTAAGCTCCTGTTCAATCGAATTCTTCCCACAATTCGTCTCTTCAATCGTCTATCTAAGGAAGTTCCACTCTGTTGACAGAGGATACGGGAGAATCAATCCTTCCTGTCTCAATTGCTTCATCAATTCGGTTGATTCAACCTTCCCTTTTCAAAATTCTTTCTTGTGTAAGTCAGAGTGGGATTGATTACCCTGGCCAACTTCCTGATGCTTATAGCAATCGTGAGATCCCTTGCTAAGGTACAGCTAGCTTTTACTCTCTTCCCTTCCGATCTGCTTCCTAAAATCTCTATCAATCCAAGCTCTATCAATTCTTTCCCAAAAGGAAGCACGAAGCTCATGACTGGGGATGCAGTAGAATCTGATCTTCATGTATTAATTGATCCTGTTAAATGGGTTTATTTGAATTTCCCTATCTCAAACCCCTTCCCGTTCAGTCCCAGAATCGTCACTATAAAAGCCTACACTGTTACTGTGGAATCCTCGTCCCAGCATCTCCATCCAAAAAGGCAGCAGCTCAAAATCCTCTTTTCACTCTTTCATTCACCATGGCACCGAGCAATCCCCAGCTCAGTGTGACTCTTGCTCCTGCTGCCATATTTACCAATCGAGGCTTTAGAAACCCAGAGGCATACTCCAGGTATCTCTGATGCTTCCAGGATCGTCCTGTCCACCCTTCGTTCATCATCCCTCCTACCACCTTCAATCGGTATAGACTGAGGGTTAATGGGTATATTTATGATCTTAGGTGGAGTTCTCTGTTCCAGAATCGACTCCTTGATCAGTGCCCTGAAGCTGTGAAAATGTTCTACGCGAGTATGCAGTGCGGCCCTGGGCGTTATCCGTCGTACTTCACCACCACCGTCTACAATTTCAGCGTGACGGTTACTGCTGATATGCTGGCTACCCTGTTGCATCTCCCTCATGATGGTGACCAAGACGGAACTGCAGAAGACTTTGACAGTTATGGGTTCCACCCCATAGACACAATGTCTTACTTAGCTAGTGATTACGGGAGTCACCAGCTCTCGAGGTTTTCCGTTGAGCGGCTGCCGGATGATCTGAAAGCCCTGCAGTTCTACATCAGTCACGTGTTCCTCCCTCTCACTGCTGCATAGGCCGCCATTCTGGACGAGTCTGATCTCTGGATTCTGTTTAACGCGAAGACAAGCTGCCCGATCAGCTATGCCTCGCTGATGTTTAATCATATGATTAAATATCGAGCAGAAGAGTGCAGCGGGAAGCTGCCTTTTGGCCCGCAAATCACCCATCTGCTGGCAATCTTAGGGGTCGATCTGCGTGGGAAAATCATCAACCGGGAGGTCTATTCTGACCTCCAAGCCCAGCATGTTCTGCGTCGCACCCTCTCGGGGCTTGGACCCCGTAAACTTGCCAAAGTTCAAGGGGGAGACAAAGCTGCAAACATCAGCTGATGGAATCTGGTTAAAGGACACGGCAGCAGAATACACAGCTGATGGAATTTCCAGGATTGACAAGGGAAAGGGAATTGAAGAATCTTCGAGAAAGCGCAAGAAGACGTTGACCTTGGAGCACATTCAGGAGGGGGTAAGGCTGGAAAATGAAGGAAAAAGCATCCTCCGTGAATGTGCCTTGTCACTAAAGGGAAAAGAGGCCAGCTCCTCAGGGGAAAAAGTCAACAGGGTTTTATTCATACCTTCGGAGGATGAGGAAGTCGATCCATCTGAGTATGCTTCGTCTCCGGAGTACACTTACTAGGATTGGTTTAGATAATCGGTTTAGGGGGAGTTGCATGGATGAATTAATGTTAGTCGAATGGTTTGGCTCGGTCATTTAAAGTAGAAGTCGGCTGTCTGTTTTTGAGTCATAGTCCGTTTTGTCATTTGAGTCTTATTTGGTTGATTTGAGAATAAGTCTTGCTGAGTATTAGTGTTGAATGTGCTTTGGTGATTTTGTTTATGAATAAAATGGACTCCCAGTTGTATTTTTGATCATGTATTAGTCATTAGTAGTTGGACACGCGAGAGACAGTCTGATTCCACCTTAGTAAAGTCCTGCAAAAACTTGTAGAAAACCACCTCTAGGATGGCAATCAAACCAGGATACCAGGATTACTCCTCAAACACTTTACCACTAGTACAATCGCTCCCACCTTTCCATCCTCCACCCAACATCAGGGAACTACAAACATCAAGAAACTCTCCATAGAAGCTCCCACCCCTGATAAAATAGACGAACACCACGAATCGCCAGGGGAACCGTCTGCAACTAAACCAAGACCAGCATCGCCGCAACAGGTCATCAAATCAACAAAAGCTCGTGCAACCAAGCCTCAACCTGAATTTTATCAATCTGACCATGGGCCACCAGCCATTCCATCGTGTTTCTCGCAGCTCTTCTAGCCACCCCACTGGCAGTTGACTTCTTCTCTTCGAACACCCTTCCTTTCCAACCATACAAACCACCAAACCGCATGTAAGATACAGTCTCTAAACCACTCTCCGACGTTTCCCGGTTTGGAGCATAGTCCGTTTTGTCATTTGAGTCTTGTTTGGTTGATTTGAGAATAAGTCTTGCTGAGTATTAGTGTTGAATGTGCTTTGGTGATTTTGTTTATGAATAAAATGGACTCCCAGTTGTATTTTTGATCACGTATTAGTCATTAGTAGTTGGACAGGCTACACCAACGGTTTGTTTAAGTGTGCAGTGCCTTGAAGCAGCTTAAAATGAACCTTGGACAAGTTAGGGGGAGAAGCTTGGCCATTGGCAAGCTGAGGGGGAGAATGTTAACTGCAGGAACAGCTTGAAGGCCAAGGCAAAGATTCAAATCACAGCTGGAAATGAGGTGGCTGACCAAAAACAGTTAAGGCAAGTTCTCGGGCCAAAGGAAGAAAGAATAAGAACTTACCATACATGAAGATCTCAAGGAACTTTGAATTCCCAACAGCTACACTGCAGCCTATAAAAGGCGATTTGAAGCAAGAGGAAACGTAACCTTTCAAGACATCAACAAAGCTAGCGAAGACAAAAGGGGATTTTGTGAGAGTAGCAAAGTTGATAGGAAAGGGGGTTTTCTCAAAGGGTTCGGGGAGAATTGCTTTGAGGGTTAGTGTTGGGGAAACACTGGTTACGAGTTGGTGGGGAAGCAATTCAGGTTTGAGAAGAGAGTGTTTGATCAATCGGGTTGAGATTGATCAAAGGGATCTTGGGTAGATAGCTTGTAACGACGAACTTCAACGCAAAATCATAGTGAATCGTCGGAGATCACACAATCGTGATTCTCCGAACGTGGAGTAGTCAGTATTGGGATTCTTATTCTCCCAATACTGGAAACCACGTAAAAATCGTGGTGTGTGTTCTCATTCTGTTTTTCGGATTCTGCAGTGTTTGTCCGTCTGTGTTTGTGTTCTGTCTGTGCAGGGAAATTTGCTCAACAAGCAGCTCGGAAGACGAACTGCAGACCTGGGTTGGAGAACTAATCGAAGCTGGGTTTGATTCACTTTGCATAATTATTTCCTGGGTTTTTACTGCTGTGTTCTTAATATTCTTCCTCTGTTCTTCACACTAAAAGAAGCAGGGTATCCTTTGATCGAAGAGGATTGCAAGAGGGAATTCAGATTTTGAATCTAAAACACTACCGTATTGGTCAGGTCACTTAGAGACTGGGTTGGGTTGATAATTTAGTTGGGCTGGTGTATCGGGTCAACTTAATTCCTCCGCTGGGATTGATCATTTGGGCTTAGAAGCCCAGTCGACGGTGCAATTCTGTAGGTTTTATTAAGTGGGTCTTTTAGCAATAGCCTAAGTAAAGTGCTTTTAAACAAGAATCTAAGCTTATTTGGTTTAATTAGTAATTTGGTCAAAGTCTTAACTTTCACACTCGCTAGGCTGTTAGTTGGATTTCGTTTAGTGTGTCATTCAATTGGACAAAATATTATATTTGAGCTTATCTGTGTTTGAATTATTGGAAGACAGGTATAAAAGTCTCGCGCTCGACGCAACCAAATCCCGAACTAACACCCTTTCCCCGCTATATGTTCTACGGTAAGAACCTTTACCATCATAATCATTATCCTTGAAAGGCTTCAACAACACTTACCTCCTGCATCGGTTCACAGGATCCTCTACAGCGGCTGATAGAAAGTCGGCATCAATGCCTTACCATCATCGTCAATTTGGCCGAGTTGATCCTAGCGCCGTGAGTCTCAGCTGGAACGACACCGGTGTCCAACTCCCATTTTCTCCCTCTCGTTCCTTGCTCGAGGTGTACCCGATTGCATATACTGCGTCAAGCTCCAGTTCGATCCACAGCCATTCAGTCCCGTCATCCCTTCTCTGGGAGTCCATGATCTTCTCGCAACCACCAAACCCCGCTGGCGTCTACTGTACAAGCTTCTGATCCCTTTCAATTACCGTAGTCGTTGTTGCTATGGTTTGTTTCTCTTTCTCTTTCTTTGCCACAGCGACCTGCAGTGGTGCTCAGCGGATAGGTGATATAAGTTCGGGACTCGGACTGCGGAGAGGAACAAGGGTTGTGGGCGGCGGAGCTGGTTTTGGTTCCTTGTTGAGAAAAGAGTGCCTCCACGGGGTGCTCGGTTTAGGGTTAAATACGATTAGAATTAGGTTTAATCCAGGGTAGTTTGGGACGGGGATCTGAATATTGGGGGTGTTACACTTACCCTCATAAAAAAAAATCGACAGCCTTACCGCAGAGCGCAGATCACCAACTTTCTAGTAAGAACAAATACACTTGTTTTATTGATACAATGTATTGGTATACAACACGTACAAAAGGTCCCTAAGAAATCACAAATGTCCGATTGCATCAAACATCGATTATTTATTTAATTGATACCCAAGACTTTGGTCCCTAAGAGACAATCTTTGGTCCCTAAAAGACATTACAAAAGAACACAAACAAAAAAAAAAGACACGATTACCACACATAAAGAACTTCCATGGGAAAAAGCCATATCATCATCAAGTTTTACACAAACGACCACGTCACCTTCAAGTCACCCTGATCCCCAGAAGCCACCCCGAGCGCATCCCACACCGCCGGCGACGCATCCACAACGTTGTTGGGGCACGGCGGCTGGTAATCGTGCACGTCATCACAGCCCTCCGTGGAATCGCACTCGTCCACCACCTTCGCCACCACGCTCCTCCCGTTCCCCGTGATCTTTATCTGCCGAAAGCAGCTCTTCCTGTTGTTGAACCATCCGCTCGACAGCGCCACGACCCGCTCCTCGTCGCCGTGGAACTTGTTGTCGCACTCCGACGCCCCGCCGCCGTCTTTCCCCTTCTCGAAGCTGTTGATGGTGAGGACGGCTTTGGTCTGATCGGTGATCGGCGGGGAGCACTTGTAGGTGGTGTACAGCTTGCCCTCAACGCAGCAGTCGGAGTGGTTGATTTGGTTGCATTGGTTTGCTGGAGGCTTTTTGCCACGGAGCTTGCCGCTGGGGGAGCAGGTTTGGGGTTTGGCTTCCACGTCCAGGTCGAGGAGGATGGCGAGGGTGAGAGTGAGAGTGGAGAGGAGGATGAAAACAGGACGACTCATATTGTTATGTGATGTAACTTTTTTTTTCTTTCCCCTCTTGGAATGAGTGTTGGTTTGGTGGTTGGTTCTATAGGTGGAAGTAAGGACTCTTATATAGAGGGTGGTCTTGGTAGCTTGGAGAGAGTAGTATAAGGTTTATAATAACTTTCTCCGTTATCGGTAAAAATGAAAAAAAAAGTAATCAAAATTATGGATATTTGTTCGAATTCGATCTGATTGGGTAGGGTGATAGTCGATCAAAATAAAATCTTCGTTAGTATGGGTAGAATCCGAACCTGAGTATTGCTGCTAATAGGTGGATAGAGTTTTCTCACTTTCCCATCCGAACACGCTCGATTATACATATACATATATAATATTTTGTATAAATCATCCCTTTTTATTTTAACATATTTTTTGTTCCGGTTATTTCCGTAGCATCTCATGAACTAGTGTTTCTTTTTGTTACTTCTCTTTTAGTGATTTGTTATGTATAATATACTTTTCCCTTAGTAATGTTAATATATTTGTAGCTAATAACACAATGATTGAGAAGATAAAAGGAAAATTATTATTCATAGATATTCATGGATACTCGAAACCTGATCGGATATGGGCATGATTTTAAATTTTCTACTCGAATCTTGCACTAGTTAGGGTAATGTAATGGATATTCACTTTGTCTCCGATCCGACCGGTTGTCATCCCTAGTTATTGAGACCAACTAGTTTATGATATGGTATCAGCACTGGTATGGTCAAGTGTGTGTGTTCGAATCTCTAAGACGACTCTCAATATAAACAGTTGATTGAAACACAAGGTATGATAAGCTTGTGTGAGGTATCGTGTAAGATAGTGTTATAAACTCTATACGAATTTTCTCCCAAACAAATTGAGTTATTGCGATCAACTGGTTATTGACAGTTTAGTGGTTGAGAAAGATACTGATTCATGACAAGAGCGGCAATTCGAGGGTAAGTTATCGTGTGCATCGACGGGTAAATTCTAGTAGTTTCAACTTTTGGTTGTGAATTTATGGATGAATCTAAAATTCTAGATGGTATCTAAATAGCAACAAGAGCATTAGAGAACGCAGAAGGCCGCTAAGATTCTTCTCGGAGTAACCAAAGCAGCAGTTAGGAATTTCTCGTCCTGATCCCTTGCTGTGATGCGCAGCACTAGGCAGCTAATTATCAAGTCAATTTCTCTTCCGGACACTTAGTTTGCTTGTCAGAATAATGAACGATAGGTTCAGGTACCGTTTAGTATCATTGTGTTTATTTTTGTAATTTTGTTTTGTTATAAACTAAGAGAATATAAACACAAGGCGAAAAAGTATGTTCTCAATAGTTTTTTTTTTTGTTGTTGTTGTTGCTGGTGTGACAATGAGCTTCAATAACACATCTCAATCTAGAGAAACGTTAATCTGTAGCTTTTGATGTGTTTCGTGGACGCATTTAACATGAATTTCGTATCGATTGTAGGACTGATTTCGTTAAACCCGCTACTTGTTCGAGCCCTATCTTCCTCAACAGGTAACAAAATGATACTAAAGGGGTCTTAGTTTCAAGTTTTAACTCAAGGCCACTAAAATCCTAAATGAAATATAATGAACGTAAATCAAACCAAAGTTGAACAAGAACAAAGCTTAACGTTTCACTCGAGCTCCCGCTGCTTCTTTCATCACTTTGTCTTGGCTAGCAGCTGAACTGGCCCTGCAAGCAGAGACGGATCCACCTCTTGGATAGGTATGTCACCATACACACCTCTGTCCGAAAGTTTTGTGAGAGACCCATTTTTTTATACAAAATTTGAACATAAGACGTCTTGCACTCCTCCTAATTAACCGACACATCTTATTACATTACAAAAAAATATTTATTTTTATAAAGTTATTAAGATATAAAATGTAGGAGTTATCATATTCAAACTAGGTAGTTAATTAGTTGGTTATACAAGAGTGAAAAATTTTATTGAAATAACAGTATTAATTTGTTTGCGCTGACATAGGACTAACTTAGTACGTTGACCGTTAGTCAATGGTGTTGACTATCCAACTTGACGATCAACCAACTCGTCGGGCTAAAATAGCATAGATGGTGCATAGTTTAAGTCATTTAAAATTTCATGAGCCAAAATAGTATATTTGTGAAAAGTAAATTAACCCTTATTAATATTAGTCTTTCCTAATAGTTTCGGTAAGGCTTGGGAGCCGTCAGAAATGGAGGTCACTGGTCACCACAAGAATTTCGATTTTCTTCTTTGAGCGATTTAATCTTTTTTCATTCCATGGATTAATTTTTTTGCATTCACAGATCCGCGGCGCTCACAAAAATCCTAGTACTCATTCGTATTTAGATAATGAAAATAAAGACATTACTTTTGCAAAGAAAATACTATTTTGGAATTTGATGTCTCATTGGTTATCAAGTTTGATTTACTCTACTAGCACATTTAATGAGGGTTAATCAAGTAATTTCAACACATTTAATGAGGGTTAATCAAGTAATTTCAACCTAGTCTTACTTAATAATATGTAAATTGTCCTCTAATTAATAATACCATTGGTCAACGAGTGCAAATTACAATGCAACTCTCTCACATCATCTTATGATTTTCTTGCTATTTTTCTAGTTATGAATAATGAGTTACATTTTATTAAATTTTTCTTACAAAACATTTACAATGATATTTTCCACTCGCGACTAAGCGGGTCAAATCAAGTATAAACATACAACTTCTAAAAGATTATAAATACAACTAAACACTCTCGTGACTTAGCCGTGAGTATTAATTCCAGTAATAATTCAACAAGTAATAACCAAAAAAGTGGGATGCAGCGCAGTCTTCAACTGAGCCAAATATATCTATGCAAGAGGAGTTATTACAATCAAACAAACATATTTCCATGCAGACAATCGAGTCTGTAACCATCAGCACATGTGTGGTTCCCAGTGGTAAGGATATTTGTGATTCTTCTGCCGTTAAGCATCTATCTTTGAAAAAAGAAACATGAATTATATAAATTAGCTGTGAAGTAGGGTTGATTACTCAAAGTTTGGGTCATTTGAGAGAAGCCATTTACCTTCGAAAAGTACTTTCATCGGTGGGCACAAATCAGATCATATAATCCCCAGAGGTCGTTCGGAGACTGATCATCATCTTCTTCTTCATCCTCATCCTCATTTGTTACTATTCTGTCATCATAAACTGGAATAACCCAACAATTCTTGTTCAAGTCGAGTATCTCATAGGTCTCGGATCTATCTGTTGTCCTGTAACTGCCTCGGAATAAGAATTCTATGGTAGAACCATCATCCTCATTTTCCTCAGGAACAAGTGGTCTACTACTAGCCCATACTAAGAAGTGACCTTTTGAGAGATGCTCTTCCTTAAGAAGTGACCTTTTGAGAGTTGGGTTCTTTCAATGGAGAACCAGAATTGAAGATTTCTGAAGCTTTCAAAATGAAACTAAGTGCTCCTTGGCAAAGAACCCTCGTGGTATGCTTACTAGGAAGATCCATTGAGTAAACCACATTATGTAATAAGCTAAAGGCATTATGGGAACCTTCTAGCCATTTGGAAATCTTTGCGCTCGACCAAGAGTACTTCCTGGTGAAGCTAGGAAATGATCATGACTATTTCAAGGCTCCTTCTGACGGCCCATGGTTGATTTTTTATCACTACCTTGTAGTCCAGCAATGGATGCCAGTGTTCAGGGTCACAGACAAATTGCCCAATGCAATGGCTGTGTGGGGTGCAATTCCTAGGTTTTCCGGTGCAATTCTATCATAAAGATCTGTTGTTCTCTTTGGGCAACCTTATTGGGAGAGCTATCAGACTGGATTTTCACACACTTCATCGGCAAAGGGCGAGATTCGCCAGGATAGCGGTAGAGGTTAATCTGTCAAGGCCTTGGTTCCTAGAATCCGTCTTGACGGCAAATGGTAGAAAGTGGAGTTTGAGAATTTACTAGTGGTCGGTTTTGAATGTGGAAAGTTGAGACATACTAATACTACCTGCCCGACTCTCTGCAAAGATCGGAACAACACCTCCATGGCGGAGTTTACCTCATCGCCAATGACCTCCATCGCCGATGAAACTCCGGAGGCAGATTCCGGCTTTGGCTCGTGATGCTTGTCTCATGAAAATCTCGTCGCAACCACAGAGACCTTCCAAAACAGGGACGACCAGACCAGGCGGGGAGGAGTAGTAACGGTACACCAAATGAGCAGATTGGGAAAGAGACATCGACTAGGAAGGAAAGATCCGAGAAACTTCCAATTCAAACAACGCATAAATCTCAACAACAACAGCTAATACCGCGACCACACAATCATGGAAAGCAAGGGAAGGTCCCCTAATAACGGGAAAGGAAACAAGGAAAGGAATTAGCCATTGCGGAACCAGACTCTTTGACCAGGCCTGGATTTTTTGGCTCTTTGAAATCCCATAGAGGCCCAACTCCCCTCAAGCCCTCTCTTCTCCCCAACTCGAATGGGGCTTCCTCGTATGGATCCGACCAGACCGGGCTCGCCTCCATCAGCTCCTCTGGTGTTCCAGCCCAAGCGATAAGAAGGGAGAATGGGACCATTATGACAATAGTGGAAGCCCAACCCTATGCCCCTTTGCCAGTTAGAGACATCGACTCATCTGTTCCTTCTGTGATTTCTAGAACCAAGCATTAGAAGGACAAGAACGGAAAACAAGGAAAGGGACAAACCTCGTCGAATAAAGGAACCCCAATTCACCACAATCCAATAAAACCTCTGCAAATTTGATCTCCGTTTGAGGAGAGAAAGAACAAAAGTAAGGATAGGCAGGTCTCACTAACTCTCCAGCAAATTAAAGAGGGGACGGAGACGAAGCTAGAGAAGAGATGCAGCAAGAAACAGTCATAATCATCTCTGGACATGGACGAGACCGGCTTCGCTACAAGAAGCGAGACCAGGCAACAACAGTCCTAATGCTGGCTTGCTTGCTTTGCCCCTTACCTTTTACCCTTGTCTTCTCTTCTCCTTTTTACTTTATGC